TAGGGAAAAATTAATCACAGGAGTAATATATAGACCTGCCAATCTTGATAGAGTCAATGAGTGACTTATCTGGGATGAAATGCGCAGGGCTTCCATACACAACAAAGTCTGTATAGTAGGTGACTTTAACCTTGGCCAAATAGATTGGACTGACCTTACGGGTAACTCAGAAGCAGAGGATTTCCTCGAGACGATCCAGGACTGTTTCCTAAGTCAACATGTAACCGAACCCACACGGGGTAATAATATACTCAATTTAGTTCTGTCGAACAGAGAAAACCTCATTAGCAATGTCGAGGTAGGGAACGAACTTGCAAACAGCGATCACAAAGAAATTAGATTCCAGTTAGATTTTCAGGGCAGACGTAAGGAAAATTCCACTGAAGTACCAGATTTCAGAAGGGCAAACTTTGACAGTTTAAAAAGGCAGCTGAGAGAGGGGGTGTCGCGCTTGGCCGTGAACCTGACAGATGACTCCGACCTGATAACGAGATCTGAGATTGCCGAGTTCAACGACAATTTAAATAATGAGTTACTTAATGCACAAAGGCAGAACATACCATACAAAAACTCAGATCAGACAACAATGACCCTAAACGGATAAATAGTTATTTAAGGAACATCATTGGCCAAAGGAAGGTTCTAGGTAGAAGGATAAAGCGTGGCGAAATTTGCCTCCAGGATTATTATAAGATATTGGCGAGTAGGGTTAAAACCGAGATAGGAAAAGCCAAGAGGAATAATGAGATAAGGATAGCAAGAGAGGCGAAGACAAACCCCAAAGGATTCTACCAAATGTATCAAACTAAAACACGAGAAAAGATTGAACCTATGTTTGAAGCAATTCAGCGTATTCGAGTTAATGATGATATTTGGAAACTTGTTCTATTCATCCACTACTCTGTTTCCAAACCAGTGTTTACCTATTTCATGCCTAAATCTAAATTTGTCTAATTTAAAACCATTGTTACTAGTTCGCTCCTGGTTGGATAGTTTGAGTACCTTTGTAATGTCCCCTCTGTTTAGCCCTGCCTTCCACTTATACACCTCTATCAGGTCGCCCCTCGCTCTACGTCTCTCAAGGGAAAGCAAATTAAGATGCTTTAACCTGTCTCTATACTCAAGGTTCCTAATGCCCGGGATAGTCTTGTCATTCTCCTCTGAATTCTTTCCAAGGATTCTATATCCATTCTGTAATACGGTGACCATAACTGAACTGCGTAATCCAGGTGTGGTCTCACAAGAGCAAGATACAGTTTTAGGATGACCCCGCTAGTCTTGTAACTAACACTCCTTTGTATGAACCCAAGTACTTTATTAGCCTTGTTACGAGCAAAAACACATTGTTTACTTGGCTTAAGGTTCCTACTTATCATTACTCCTAAATCTCTCTCGCAGTCGGATTTCTCTATGGCATCGTTGTTCATCTGGTATCTGGTTTCCCTGTTTACATCTCCTATACTGAGTACTTTACATTTGTCCACGTTGAATTTCATCTGCCATTTTTCAGACCATTCGAAAAATTTGTTTAGATCTTCCTGTAGTTTTGCGAGTCCTCGTCAGATTTAATAACACGTCCTATTTTAGTGTCATCAGCAAATTTACTTATGTTGCTGTCTATGCCGATATCTATGTCGTTTATGTATATAATAAATAATAATGGTCCAAGTACTGAGCCTTGGGGAACTCCACTTGTGAAGTTGCTCCAATGGGACTTAGTGCCGTTAATGCTCACTCTCTGTTTCCTGTCCTGTAACCACTCCCTAATCCATTTAAGGATGTTACCTTTGATGCCATGTGCTTCTACCTTTCTAATTAGTCTTTCGTGGGGGACTCTGTCGAAGGCTTTGCTAAAGTCGAGATATACCACATCATAATTGTGCCCCTCGTCCATATTCGAAAACTGATGAAAAGAATGTTAATAGATTAGTTAGACAAGAACGTCCGCTTGTGAAGCCATGCTGGGAATCATTGATCAATCTGTGCTTCTCCAGGTGATTTCGTATAGAGTTTGAAATGATTGCTTCCAGTAATTTGCCTACTATTGATGTTAGACTGATTGGGCGGTAGTTAGAGGATAGTGATCTATCCCCCTTCTTGAAAATCGGTATTACATTCGCTATCCTCCAGGATTCTGGTACTACACCTGTTTTTAAGGACATATTAAACAACTTTGCTAAGGGCATACTAAGCTCTTCCTGACATTCCTTTAATACACTGGCAAATATCTCATCGGGACCAGGTGACTAATTAGGCTTTAGTTTGTCTATTTGCTTACTAACATCGTTACTAGTCACTACTATCTCGCTTAATTTGTTTTCTTCACTATCTCTGAATAGAGTCGGTGCCTCGGGTATCATGTTTAAATTTTCAGTGGTGAAAACTGTTGAAAAATATTTATTCAAATTATTGCTCATTTCTCCGTCGTTATCAGTGAACTCGCCGAAGTCTGACCGTATGTGTTTGGAGCGTACCTTACTCCCTATTATGATTTGGTATGTGGTGTAAAACGTATAATAATTACCTTGATAAGCATTTTTTATTTTATTTTAGTGGAAATAGATAAATGAATGCGATACAAAAATGGCGTCTTTACTTTCTACAAGCACGCAATTTAACAGATACAAATTTATACAGGGTACAGCATGACAGCTTAAGTGAAAACTACAAGAACTGTTCAGTTATACGAGAAACCAGTGTATCTGCGTAGCCAGCACCATGGGACCACCACCAAGCCACCACGCGTGTGTGAGGTGTTATACATAAGACGACCACGTGATCAAACCCTGCACGTCGCGTCAGCAATTAGCACAGTTCAGCCACGTACTCCTATTGAAGGACGTCAGGGCTGCGACACAATAGCGACTAGTATCAGCCAAGGAGGTCGTGCTGGGACTGACTTTTTTCTCTTTTTTACGTGGCTGCGCTCTTTACGGGCAAGGAAGGAATAAGAGATCATTGGTTTATTGTATTAACCCACGATATTACGTTATATCCTGTCAGGTATATTGAAAAAATTATCACCAACACGATTAGGTGGGCGATAATGTCGAGGGAGCCAGTTGCTCCCAGCATTTGTGTTGTCACTTCTACAATATATGAACGAATGTTGATTTTATTGAAGTGTATACACAGAAAACAGTGGTTAATTCTGTAGTAGAGTTTATTTTGTATTTTACGATTATCTCAGATATTATTAAGGGACAATACTGTTCTCGTTCTAGCTGCCTATATTAATGCCCTGTGTTGCCACAAACACGGTTTCATAACTTATGATCCAAACTAGAATGTTCTTGGTAATTTGTTTTTCGCTTATAATGCATCGAAATCCTGGAGATCTTAGGTTTAGTACTAAACAAGACGAGGGAGGTGTGTCTGCGGGTTGGCCCCCACCAGTGGGCCCCGTCTGGTTGGAACTTAAACCAACAGACGACCTCTGGAGGGCTAGTGAACCTGCTGCTGCACAGTGACGACTACCACGCCCCACTGGGTTAGGGACAGACTGGGAAAGGTACAATACAATGGGTAAGGAGCTGTGTAGGTTACGGAGATGGGTGTATGCGGCCAAGGAACTACAGAGGACAAGAATTAAAGACTGAGATTTAGAAGAGGTCCAGGTTTTTAGGGGTCATGGGACAATTATTAGGATGTTCCCAGATGCCCAAAGACGTAGCGGGTAAGAGAGAGTCGTCAGGCTTCACATAGAGTGAGAGGGAGGTGAATAATGTGGTGACCTTGAGGCTTCATGCCGTCGCACAGGTTCGATAATTTATTGGGTTGTTGCTGCTGCTTTATGACTGACTAGTCTGTCATACCTACCTACACACCTACTACCACACCACGCACCTGCTGCTATCCCACTACGTCCACTTAAACACCTGCTAATACACCATCATGCTCACCTACAACTACACCACCACGCCCATCTGTACACCCGCTGTTACCACCCTACGCTCACTTACACGCCTACTTGTTGCTCTGCCTCACCTCCACGAGGCCTACTCCTGAACGCACACGTCAAAGGCCACCTCCAATATATCCCATACTTGTAAATCATTATATATATCCGGTGTAACGTCGGATGTGTAGGACTGCCAGACTTGTTTCCTATTGTGGTGGTGTTATTTGTCGCAGCAGCCAACGAAGGACTCCACACACACACACACACACGCACACACACACCCGAACGATATTTGTTTACACCTTGTTCACTTAGTAATCTCAGGTTGTTTCTTCTCTTCTTTTTATCTGTGAGTGTGAATCATTAGGCTTCCGGAGTTGAGGTGCGAGGGGCGGTGTTTGGTCCCTGATCCTTGCTTGGGAACTGACTCGCCTCGTTCAAACAGCCAGATCTGGAGGACATGTAGCCTGCCTTTACTGCTCTCTCTCTCATCGTCAACACTCAGTGCTCTGCTTTTCGGAAGAACATAATATACACGCCGTGGATGAGTAATATCCGGAGAGGATGTTGGAGAGGTGCGGACTGAAGACAAAGATAACCTGCCCCCCAACTGCTGGCTCGCATGACCATAGAGGCAGCATCCAGCCCCGTGTCCGCAACCTGGGCAGGCTTGGTCCAAAGTGTTGTTGTCTGTTATCCTTACTCCCGAGTCCCAACATTCACCTTCTTCTATTATGTAATGTAGCCGATCCCGTGGCGCCCAATCAAAACCTTGATATTAGGATATATCAGCCGTGGTAGGATGTCTCACTCCCAGGGAGACAGTGACGTTGAATGACGAGGCAGTGACGTCACAATACTTGAATAAAGGTTATTTGGAGTTGTTATTAAAATTTTGTAGCACAAACTTACTTAAAATAATAGTTTTAGAAGAATAAATTCCCAGGTGAGGTGTATGGAGGTCGTGTGTTGCGGGAACATACCACAAGTAACAGTTTGAGGCAGTTTGAGGAGGCGGGGCGTCAGGGCCGGGGGAGGAGCCACAGGTTAGAAGGAGATAAATACTGCGGAGCCACAAGGACTGCAGTCCACTCAGGCACTGTAAACGGTGGTAGTGTAGTCGCAGTCCTCGACTGTGTACCGGCAGTGATAGACGCGACTCTGTGGACACTTTGATCAAATCTCAGCGCCATGGTGGCTCTAAACCAGGACCCTCCTCCCTACGACGCCCAGGTACTTTAACTATTTACCTGTCTACACACACACGCTCATATATATATATCCTTTGTGTGTATGTATGTGTCTGTCTGTTAACAGATACAAACGAAGAAGAATGAAATAGAACAAAAACTGAAGTTAGTGAATTAGGTGATCCAGATTTCTTCTTTACTGGAAATGGGTTGTAAACGGTTCACGCGAAGAATCTGGCCACTGTGGGCCTCCACGTTCTCCGCATGATAGGCCAATATGTATAGGTTGACCGACTGGACGACTCTGCACTCAACTGTGAATTTTTAAGTGATCTGATGACATATAAATTAAAGAATATATTACTTTGCCACTGCTACGAAACAGTGTACAGTAATATATTATATAGGATGACTTACAGTGTAGAGTGACGAGGTGAGGATAGCGAAGCGCAGTGTGAGAGATGTTCCTACATGTGTTGTCCTGTCCTATCTTGTCCTGCCCTGCCTTATCATACACTGTCTTGTCCTGCCCTGCCTTATCATACACTGTCTTGTCCTGCCCTGCCTTGTCCTGCCCTGCCTTGTCCTGTCCTATCTTGTCCTGTCCTGCCTTGTCCTGCCCTGCCTTATCATACACTGTCTTGTCCTGCCCTGCCTTGTCCTGCCCTGCCTTGTCCTGCCCTGCCTTATCATACACTGTCTTGTCCTGCCCTGCCTTATCATACACTGTCTTGTCCTGCCCTGCCTTGTCCTGCCCTGCCTTGTCCTGCCCTGCCTTATCATACTCTGTCTTGTCCTGACCTTTCTTCACGTGATCGTGACCGCCTACAACATGACTCACTTATCACACCCTTCCTCCTTCCGGTATTTTTCTACCGTAAAGAAAACGCGAATGTGAACTCCTGGAGTGGGATAGTTTAAGTGTTTCGTACAAAATGATGTGGGTTGAGTAATTCGGTCCCTTGAGCGCAGTGATTCAGTCTCGTAAACACGATGATTCATCTCTTGATTATCATTTATCTCGTGAGCAATCATGATTCAACCTCTCACGTTGTTTATTTAGTTCCTTACCGTCGTGATAACTTAACCTGATGGAACATGACTATAAATAAATCTTTTCATAACTGAACCTTAACTGCTAGAGTAATGATAATCTTTTCCCTCTTTCGGCGATAATTTTAACCATGCAGGATGATTATTTAACCTCCAGAACATGACAATTTAATTCCCAATAACACGACAATTTCCCCCCTATAATGCAACCCTTGGAACAATATAATACTTCCTCAACAGGGTGATAATTTACCGTTCAAAGATAATAATATAACCCCTCGAGTATAACAGTGAGTGCCCACAGGTTACTCTCCCAAGGACTCTGTACCAACAACACAACTATTGAGGGGAAAAGAGTTTTATCACTCATAATTTTTAATTGTTGGTAAAATAGTGTAATTACTAACATTAATACAACAACAGAGCATTTGGATACACATTATACAGAAAAAATAGTCGTATGAATCACTGTGTTGACCTTCTGTCGCTCTTACGCTCGAGCTGTGCTTGGAATTGTTCATAATACAGGTGTAATGTAAATGTCGTCAAAGGAAGACAATCTCACATTAATTTTTTTTATTTGTTTCTGTCTTGATATTTGATTGATTTCTAAATGGTCGGAGTCAGTATGAAAAGAGAACTATAGAATATTGTTGCTGGACATTTCCTAAGCACAGTAGTGTGTTTATAGTTCTTATATAAAAGTCACTCATAGTCTGGTTTATGTAAAGGACAACAATACAGAATTATTAATGCAACTTAGAGATCACTATTCGCTTCCATATGTCTTATGTTCATATTGTAATTTTCCCTTAGCCAATGAAATGAAAAATTAAAAAAAAATATATATATATTCATAAGCATCGAGTTTTCACTTCGGAGATAAAGTCCACTTGGTGTGCTCATACGTATAGTTCTAAAGAGCAAGGCAATTTCTCCTCAGTCATTGTTTACAGTGTCAAAAACTCGTTGTCCAGTTACTTTAACGAAGTGACCGTGATATTTAATTGAACTTGAGGAAAGTTTGTTACGGATTTACAAGATGAGAGTCGATCGTAGCCAGACACTTGCGAGTCGATTCTTCCAAGGTCGGAACCCCTGGACTACCTCTTAACTGGGTGGTGGCAGGCGGGAGACACTTACACAGACACAACACATGCCACTGGTTCTTGAGACAAGGTGCACAAAACGTCAATATTTGTGTGGTTCTCTCTTGTCATTTAAATCGTGGTTAATAATATGGCTAATGTATGGTTTACTTTTTGTGTAAAATGGTGTGGTTTGTGCTTAGTTTGTGGCTTGATACATAATAAATAATGTGGGTGACGTGTGTCATTATCCGTGGGAAACATTTGGGCAACTGGCGGTGTGTAGCAGTGTGTGCGTGTAGTAGTAGTTGCGGATGTTTGGCTTTGGTTCTGTGACGGCACTAGCTTGCCTGTCATCTCTCAGGTTCGTCATAACCCGGCTCGCTGTGATGCATCCATGGTAGTACGCGGTGGATACACCTACAGCCTAAATTAATGGTGGGGTGTGGCTATGGTGGTAAACAAGAGGTACTGCTGACAAGGCTGGACAGTTGAGTATAAGTCATCAGACCACAGATACACAAGAACACAAGAATGGAGGAAACTGCAGCGGGCAGTCCCGTTTACACCCAACCCCTATTGCTCATATAAGCATCCAACCTATGTTTGAAGCAGTTCAGCGTATTCGAGTTAATGATGATATTTGGAAACTTGTTCCATTCATCCACTACTCTGTTTCCAAACCAGTGTTTACCTATTTCACGCCTAAATCTAAATTTGTCTAATTTAAAACCATTGTTACGAGTTCGCTCCTGGTTGGATAGTTTGAGTACCTTAGTAATATCCCCTTTGTTTAGCCCTGCCTTCCACTTATACACCTCTATCAGGTCGCCCCTCGCTCTACGTCTCTCAAGGGAGTGCAAATTAAGATGCTTTAACATGTCTCTATACTCAAGGTTCCTAATGCCCGGGATTAGTCTTGTCATTCTCCTCTGAATTCTTTCCAAGGATTCTATATCCATTCTGTAATACGGTGACCATAACTGAACTGCGTAATCCAGGTGTGGTCTCACAGAGCAAGATACAGTTTTAGGATGACCTCGCTAGTCTTGTAACTAACACTCCTTTGTATGAACCCAAGTACTTTATTAGCCTTGTTACGAGCAAAAACACATTGTTTACTTGGCTTAAGGTTCCTACTTATCATTACTCCTAAATCTCTCTCAAAGTCGGATTTCTCTATGGCATCGTTGTTCATCTGGTATCTGGTTCCCTGTTTACATCTCCTATTCTGAGTACTTTACATTTGTCCACGTTGAATTTCATCTGCCATTTTTCAGACCATTCGAAAAATTTGTTTAGATCTTCCTGTAGTTTTGCCGAGTCCTCGTCAGATTTGATAACACGTCCTATTTTAGTGTCATCAGCAAATTTACTTATGTTGCTGTCTATGCCGATATCTATGTTGTTTATGTAGATAATAAATAATAATGGTCCAAGTACTGAGCCTTGGGGAACTCCACTTGTGACGTTGCTCCAATGGGACTTAGTGCCGTTAATGCTCACTCGCTGTTTCCTGTCCTGTAACCACGCCCTAATCCATTTAAGGATGTCACCTTTGATGCCATGAGCTTCTACCTTTCTAATTAGTCTTTCGTGGGGGACTCTGCCGAAGGCTTTGCTAAAGTCGAGATATACCACATCATAATTGTGCCCCTCGTCCACCGATTCGAAAACTGATGAAAAGAATGTTAATAGATTAGTTAGGCAAGAACGTCCACTTGTGAAGCCATGCTGGGAATCATTGATTAATCGGTGCTTCTCCAGGTTATTTCGAATAGAGTTTGAAATGATTGCTTCCAGTAATTTGCCTACTATTGATGTTAGACTGATTGGGCGGTAGTTAGAGGATAGTGATCTATCCCCCTTCTTGAAAATCGGTATTACATTCGCTATCCTCCAGGATTCTGGTACTACACCTGTTTTTAAGGACAGTACAGTACTGTACTGCACAACCTTTCCTTTCCAGTTCACTCTCTCCAATTACCAGTGTCCCCTACAAGGCTGTTGCCATTATGCTGACCAGTGTGATGTCTCTGAGGAAGAGGTTGGGGTCCACAATGTCTAGATGATTGCACAATTTTCACAGCACTTCCAACAATCAAAATATTATAAAGTTCATGCTGTGTGTCTACAGAGTTTAATTTCGAGAAATCTAAGCTTCCAGGCCTCCTCCGCGTGATGGTGACAGTATAGTATTACGGAGGTTTAGATACGTGGTGGTATACGAGCTGCGGAAGTGTTTGAGTCATAGTCGAAGCCAAGGTTACACTTAATGGCATTTCAGGTTAGCATTTAAGACACTTCCGCCACTCTACATGACTCAGCATCCATGTTTTTTACTAGATATTTTTGGTTCAACTAATCCGTTAATTATAAATAATGATCTACTATGTAGGGGTCATTGTTGTGCCATCTACCGCTTGGGTCAGCTGGGATGTCAATGATGTTTTGAATGAACTGAGACACATTTTAGCAGAGTGATTATCATATACATATATTTTTATACCCCGCCTCTGTCGGCTGCTACATTGGCAGCATTTTATCATTAATTAAAGCCTACAGGAAGTATATCCTGATTCGTTGAATCAGAACCAGAAATAACGTTAGTTAACCTTTAGTTAGCCCCACCCGGATTTCATTTCTCATTTTCTATCATCTACTCAACACGTTTTGAAGGCCAACGAAAATGTCTTGAGGTGATATGAAAATTCCATAAAGTTATTAGGAATACACACCCAGATGTGATACGAGTTTTTCAGCAAATCAGGAGTACAGCTTGGTGTAGCTCCGACTTATATAACTTGGTAGTTTTTGTTGGGCTCATCACTGATCAATAGTTTGTTTTATTGCGTATAATACAATTCTGGTGGAGGCAATGTACAAGGAAATGCGACTGTGA